TGTGTGTGACAGCACAGGTGTGTGTGACAGTACAGGTGTGTGTGACAGGTATGACAGCACAGGTGTGACAGGTATGACACAGTACAGGTGTGTGTGACACAGCACAGGTGTGTGTGACAGTACAGGTGTGTGTGACAGGTATGACGCAGCACAGGTGTGACACGTATGACACAGTACAGGGGTGTGTGTGACACAGCACAGGTATGTGTGACAGTACAGGTGTGTGTGACAGGGGTGATACAGTACAGGTGTGTGTGTGACAGGGCGTGCACACGCTGCAGCGCATCCGCAAGAACTCCTTCGTCATGGAGTACGTGGGCGAGGTGAGTGCCGCAGGTGTGTGTGACAGGTGTGATACAGGTGTGGGACAGGTGTATGTCAGGTGTGGTGCAGGTGTGACATGGTTCGGGTGTGCCCCAGGTGTGATGTGGTGCAGGTGTGAGGCAGTACAGGGGTGTGGGGTGATTCAGGTGTGCCCCAGGTGTGTGACAGGTGTGTCCCTGTCCCAGATCATCACCTCGGAGGAGGCGGAGCGCCGGGGACAGGTGTACGACCGCCAGGGCGCCACGTACCTGTTCGACCTGGACTACGTGGAGGACGTGTACACCGTGGACGCCGCCCACTACGGCAACATCTCGCACTTCGTCAACCACAGCGTGAGTGCGGCTTACCTGGGCTCAGGTGGGGCTTACCTGGGCTCAGGGGTGGGTTTACCTGGACTCAGGAGTGGGATTACCTGGACTCAGGGGTGGGTTTACCTGGGCTCAGGTGTGGGTTTAACTGGACTCAGGAGTGGGTTTACCTGGGCTCAGGGGTGGGTTTACCTGAACTCAGGAGTGGGATTACCTGGGCTCAGGTGTGGGTTTACCTGGACACAGGTGTTGTTTATTTGGACACAGGTGTGGGTTTACCTGGGCTCAGGTGTGGTTTACCTGGACACAGATGTGGTTTATCTGGGCTCAGGTGTGGTTTACTTGGACATGGCTCAGGTGTGGGTTTACCTGCCCACAGCTGGGCCTTTACCTGTGCAGAGGTGTGGCCTTAGCTACCTTGTGGGTGGAGCTTTCATCACCTTTTCCCTCAGCTGTGGGTGGGGCTCACCTGGGGGGGTGGGGCTTACCTGCAAGGTGTGGCTCACCTGTTGGGGTGGGTCAGGAGCTGTGGGTGGGGCTCACCTGGGGGGGTGGGGCTTACCTGCAAGGTGTGGCTCACCTGTTGGGGTGGGTCAGGAGCTGTGGGTGGGGCTCACCTGGGGGGGTGGGGCTTACCTGCAAGGTGTGGCTCACCTGTTGGGGTGGGTCAGGAGCTGTGGGTGGGGCTCACCTGGGGGGGTGGGGCTTACCTGCAAGGTGTGGCTCACCTGTTGGGGTGGGTCAGGAGCTGTGGGTGGGGCTCACCTGGGGGGGTGGGGCTTACCTGCAAGGTGTGGCTCACCTGTTGGGGTGGGTCAGGAGCTGTGGGTGGGGCTCACCTGGGGGGGTGGGGCTTACCTGCAAGGTGTGGCTCACCTGTTGGGGTGGGTCAGGAGCTGTGGGTGGGGCTCACCTGGGGGGGTGGGGCTTACCTGCAAGGTGTGGCTCACCTGTTGGGGTGGGTCAGGAGCTGTGGGTGGGGCTCACCTGGGGGGGTGGGGCTTACCTGCAAGGTGTGGCTCACCTGTTGGGGTGGGTCAGGAGCTGTGGGTGGGGCTCACCTGGGGGGGTGGGGCTTACCTGCAAGGTGTGGCTCACCTGTTGGGGTGGGTCAGGAGCTGTGGGTGGGGCTCACCTGGGGGGGTGGGGCTTACCTGCAAGGTGTGGCTCACCTGTTGGGGTGGGTCGGGAGCTGTGGGGGGGGCTCACCTGGGGGGGTGACTCACTTGGGGGGGCGGGGCTCACCTGCCAGGTGTGTCTCACCTGGGGGGGCGGGGCAGTGTGACCCCAACCTGCAGGTGTACAACGTGTTCATCGAGAACCTGGACCAGCGCCTGCCCCGCATCGCCCTGTTCGCCACCAGGCCCATCCGGGCCGGCGAGGAGCTCACCTTCGACTACAACATGCACGGTACCTGCCACACCTGGCACACACCTGTACTTGTCACACACCTGTCACCTGTCCCTGTCACACACCTGTACCTGTCACACACCTGTACCTGTCCCACACTTGTCACCTGTACCTGTCACACACCTGTCACCTGTCCTTGTCCCACACCTCTCACACCTGTACCTGTCACAGACCTATACCTGTCATACCTGTACCTGTCACACACCTGTCCCTGCCCCCAGACCCATCTGGGCAGGGGAGGAGCTCACCTTTGACTACAACATGCATGGTACCTGCTGCACACTTGTCCCTGTCACACACCTGTCACACCTGTCCCTGTCACACACCTGTACCTGTTACACACCTGTACCTGCCACACCCATCCCTATCACACCTGTACCTATCACACCTGTCCCTGTCACCCACCTGTACCTGCCACACACCTGTCCCTGTTACACCTGTACCTGTTACACCTGTCCCTGTCACACACCTATTTTGCACATACCCCCTTCCCCTCAGCCCACCCTGCACTGTGAGGTCCGTGTCACACCTGGGGGGGGGTCAGTGTCACACCTGGGAGGTCAGAGCCGCACCTGGGGGGGGTCAGTGTCACACCTGGGGGGGTCAGTGTCACACCTGGAGGTGTCAGGGTCACACCTGGGGGACCTGGGAGCTCCTGGCCACACCTGGGGGAGGTGCAGGCCGTACCTGGGGGTTTCCTGACCATATCTGGGGGTGTCAGAGCCACACCTGGGGGGTTCCTGGGCACACCTGGGGGGTTCCTGGCCACACCTGGGTGGGTCCTGGGCACACCTGGGGGGTTCCTGAGCACACCTGGGTGGGTCCTGGGCACACCTGGGGGGTTCCTGGCCACACCTGGGTGGGTCCTGGCCACACCTGGGGGGTTCCTGGCCACACCTGGGTGGGTCCTGGGCACACCTGGGGGGTTCCTGGGCACACCTGGCAGTTCCCAGGTGTTGCTGAGCCCACCTTTCCCCGCAGTGGACCCCGTGGACGCCGAGAGCACCCGCATGGACTCCAACTTCGGGCTGGTGGGGGGGTCCCTGGGGGGCTCCCCCCGCGCCCGCGGCCGCATCGAGTGCAAGTGCGGGGCGGCCTCGTGCCGCAAGTTCCTGTTCTGAAACACCTGGGCCACACCTGGGCCACACCCACCGCACACCTGGCCACGCCTCCACTGCCGCCCGCAGCGCCCGGGGGGGGGTTGGGGTGAATTTGGGGAGGGGTCCCGGGTTATTCTGGGCCATTTTTGGGCCATTTTTGGGGTGATTTGGGCGGTTTTGGGTGGGTTTCGGGTGGGTTTGGGGGGCTCCAGGTGGGGTTTTGGGGGGCTCCAGGTGAGCTGGGGGTGCCACACGATGACAACACCTGTGGAGTTCTTCTAAGGCCGTGCTGGGGGAGTTTTGGGGGTGTCTACGTGGGTTTTTTTGGGGCGGGGGTCTCAGGGGGTCTTAGAGTGGTTTCAGGGGGAATTTTAGGGGTCCAGGTAGGTTTTAGAGAGTCCAGGTGTGTTTTGGGGGTCCAGGTGGTTTTTGGGGGGGTTCCGGGGAGATTATCATGTGGGGAAAGGTTTTGGGGGATTCTGAGGGGTTTTCGGATCCAGGTGTGTTTTGGGGGGGCTCCAGGTAGTTTTTGGGGTGGTCCGGGGGGGTTTGGGGATGTTTTGGGGGGGGTCTGCGGATTTTGGGGAGGGTCTGAAGGGTTTTGGGGTCACACGGCGCCGCCAAACCTCACGAACCAGACTGGGTGGATCGAGGGGAATTTTGGGGGAGTTTTGGGATATTTGGGGAGGAGTGCAGGGAAGATTTTGGGGCCATTTTCAGGAAGATTTTGGGAAGGATTTTGGGGGTTTTGGGCAGCATTTCGTGGCATTTTGGGCAGGATTTTGGGAGGTTTTGGGAAGGATTTTGGGGTGTTTCAGGCAGGATTTTGAGGTATTTTGGGCAGCATTTTGGGGCATTCTGGGCAGGATTTTGGGATGTTTCAGACAGGATTTTGGGGTGTTCTGCAAAGAATTTTGGGCAGGATTTTGGGGTGTTTCAGGCAGGATTTTGGGGTGTTTCGGGCAGGATTTTGAAGTGTTTTGGGCAGGATTTTGGGGTGTTTTTGGAGGGATTCTGAGGTGTTTTGGTGCCGCACGCCGCTCTCAAAACTCGCCGCACTCCGAGGCCACACGAGGCATTCCAGGGAGGTTTTTGGGGTACTCTGGGGGTATTTCCAGGCAGACTTTGGGTTCTCCGCGGGGGTTTCGGGGCGCCTCAGGCGTGCTGGCGGCGCCACACGATGACGGGGTGGGTTTTGGGGGTCCGGGGGGTTTTTGGGGGGGTTCCGGGGAGGGTTTTCGGTTCCAGGTGGTTTTGGGGGATTCTGAGGGGTTTTCGGATCCAGGTGTGTTTTGGGGGGGCTCCAGGTAGTTTTTGGGGTGGTCCGGGGGGGTTTGGGGATGTTTTGGGGGGGGTCTGCGGATTTTGGGGAGGGTCTGAAGGGTTTTGGGGTCACACGGCGCCGCCAAACCTCACGAACCAGACTGGGTGGATCGAGGGGAATTTTGGGGGAGTTTTGGGATATTTGGGGAGGAGTGCAGGGAAGATTTTGGGGCCATTTTCAGGAAGATTTTGGGAAGGATTTTGGGGGTTTTGGGCAGCATTTCGTGGCATTTTGGGCAGGATTTTGGGAGGTTTTGGGAAGGATTTTGGGGTGTTTCAGGCAGGATTTTGAGGTATTTTGGGCAGCATTTTGGGGCATTCTGGGCAGGATTTTGGGATGTTTCAGACAGGATTTTGGGGTGTTCTGCAAAGAATTTTGGGCAGGATTTTGGGGTGTTTCAGGCAGGATTTTGGGGTGTTTCGGGCAGGATTTTGAAGTGTTTTGGGCAGGATTTTGGGGTGTTTTTGGAGGGATTCTGAGGTGTTTTGGTGCCGCACGCCGCTCTCAAAACTCGCCGCACTCCGAGGCCACACGAGGCATTCCAGGGAGGTTTTTGGGGTACTCTGGGGGTATTTCCAGGCAGACTTTGGGTTCTCCGCGGGGGTTTCGGGGCGCCTCAGGCGTGCTGGCGGCGCCACACGATGACGGTGCCGGCGGCGTCCCCCGAGGCCAGCAGGGACTCGTCGCAGTTGAAGGCCACGGCCAGCACGGCGGCCCCGTGGCCCTGCAGCGTGTTCACCGTGGCGCGCGCCGCGCGGCCCACGTCGAAAAAGTGCACGGAGGCGTCCTCGCTGCCCGTCACTGTGGGGACACGGGGACATCAGGGGCATTGGGGACAGGAGTCAGGGATGTGATTCCACTGAGCCCCTCGCTGCCCGTCACTGTGGGGACACGGGGACATTGGGGACATCAGGGACAGGGCTGGGCAATGTCATCCCATTGAAGGGATGTTGGGGACATCAGGGACACAAGGGACAGGGGTGAGGGATGGCACCCAACTGCCCTCCTTGCTGCCCGTCACTGATGGGGACATCGGGGACAGGAATCAGGGATGTGATTCCACTGACCCCCTTGTTGCCCATCACTGTGGGGACACGGGGGCATTGGGGACATCGGGGACATCAGGGGCATTGGGGACAGGAGTCAGGGATGTGATCCCACTGACCCCCTCGCTGCCCGTCACTGTGGGGACACGGGGACATCAGGGACAGGGCTGGGCAATGTGATCCCATTGAAGGGATGTTGGGGACATCAGGGACATGAGGGACAGGGGTGAGGGATGGCACCCAGCAGTTCTCCTCACTGCCCGTCACTGTGGGGACATGGGGACATCAGGGACAGGAGTCAGGGATGTGATCCCACTGAGCCCCTCACTGCCTGTCACTGTGGGGACACGGGGACATTGGGGACATCAGGGACACTGGGGACATGGGGACAGCAGGGATGGCACTCAACTGCCCTCCTCGCTGCCTGTCACTGGGGGGACACGGGGACATTGAGGACATCAGGGGCATTGGGGACAGGGGTGAGGGATGGCACCCAACTGCCGTCCTCACTGCCTGTCACTGTGGGGACATCAGGGACACTGGGGACAGGAATCAGGGATGTGATCCCACTGAGCCCCTCACTGCCTGTCACTGTGGGGACATCAGGGACACTGGGGACAGGAATCAGGGATGTGATCCCACTGAGCCCCTCACTGCCTGTCACTGTGGGGACACGGGGACATTGGGGACATCAGGGACAGGGATAAGGGATGGCACCCAACCGCCCCCTCACTGCCCGTCACTGAAGGGACGCTGGGGACACTGGGGACACTGGGGACAGGCTCAGGGCTGTGATTTTGGTGCCCCCCTCGCTGCCTGGCTCTGCTGGGGACAACAAGGACAGCTGTGGCCCCACTGCCCTCTCTGCTGCCCGTCACTGCCTGGGGACACCGGGGACGCGGCTGGGCGGTGGCGGCTGTCCCTGCGCCCACCCCAGTCCCCTCCCAGTCCATCCCAGTCCCTCCCAGTTTGTCCCAGCCCACCCCAGTCTATTCCCAGTTTGTCCCAGTCCCTCCCAGTCCATTCCCAGTCTGTCCCAGTCCATTCCCAGTTTGTCCCAGTCCCTCCCAGTCCATTCCCAGTTTGTCCCAGTCCCTCCCAGTCCATTCCCAGTTTGTCCCAGTCCCTCCCAGGCCATTCCCAGTGCTCCCAGTGCTCACCCACGCAGGCTCCCTGCCGGAAGGACATCAGGGGGCAGAAGCAGCTCCTCAGGGGCTGCTCCCGGTGCCGCGTGGGGAAACTGCGCCGGAGCCGCAGCCCCGGGGCCCCCGAGCCCCCCTCGTCCTCCACCACCCTGGGCAGGGGGAAACGGGGTCAGAAACACCCAAAAAGCACAAAAAAACTTTCTCTAAAATCCCCCTGAGCCCCCCTCCTCATCCACCACTCTGGGGAGGGGAAAAAAGGGGTCACAAATACCCAAAAATCACCCCAAAAACCGTCCTAGCCCCCCCCACGGCAGAAAAGCAGCAGACGGTCGGGGCAGGCATTGGCCAGCAGGGACAGGTCCGGGTTACCCCACACCCTCCACTCCCCCATAGCCCCCTGAAGGATTCCCCATGTCCCCAAGGACCCCCCCATGTCCCCAGTGTCCCCAAGGCCCCCCCCCATACCGGAAGAGCAGCAGGTGCTCGGGGCACCCCTCCCAGTGGCCCACAGCAGTGCCAGGCTCAGAGAGGACACGAACTCCCCGTTGTCCTTCCGGCCTCTCCCAGGTGTCCCCAAATCCCCTCCCAGTCCATCCCAGTGCCCTCCCAGTCCGTCCCAGTCCCTCCCAGTCCCCGTACCGGTGCCGGGGTCGCACAGGAACGAGGACACGGAGCCCCGGTCGTCCCCGGCCCAGAGGACGCGCCCGGGGGCGTCGAAGCAGAGGGCGAGGACCCGGCCGGGGAGGCGCCCGGTGCCCCCCCGAGCCGCCTTCCCCGTGGAGATGTTCACCACCCGCACCATGTGCCGGGCACTGCCCACCTGGGGGGCACGGGGGGGTCACCTGGGGGGGCATAGAGCCCCCTAAACCCACCCTGAGACCCCCAAACCCACTCTGAGACCCCCCCAAACCCACCCTGAGACCCCCAAAATCCCTAAAATCCCCCCCGAGCCACATTCCGGGTGGAGATGTTCACCGCATGGACCATGCGCCAGGCACTGCCCATCTGGGGGGCAAAAAGGGGCTGGGGGGGTGCCCTGGGGCCCCCTAAAACCACCCTGAGACTCCCAAACCCACCCTGAGACCCCCAAAATTCCCCCAAAACCCCCCCGAGCTGCCTTCCCCATGGAGATGTTTGCCACCCGCACCACGGTCAGGTTTGGAGGGATGCTCGGGGGTCTCTCAGGGCTGCGGGGTTCTGGGGTGGCTTTGGGGTGTTTTGGGATGGTTTTGGGGTGTTTTGGGATGGTTTGGGGTGTTTTTCGGGGTATTTTGAGATGGTTTGGGGTGTTTTAGAGTTTCTCTCACCACAGATTACTGTTCAGCAGCTGGAAGGCGCAGCACAGCAGGCCAGGGTTGGGTTTGGGGGGGTGTTTGGGGGTCTCAGGGGGGTCTCCCAGCACTGGGATGTTTTGGGGTATTTTGGGATGATTTTAGGGTATTTTGGGGATTCCCTCACCACAGTCAGGTTGTTGTTGAGCGGCTGCAAGGCGCAGCACAGCAGTGTGGGGTCAGGTTTGAGGGGGTGATTGGGGGTCCCAGGAGGGGCTCTCAGGGCTGTGACATTTCAGGGTGTTTTTTGGGGTATTTTGGGATGATTTTAGGTTATTTTGGGGATTCCCTCACCACAGTCAGGTTGTTGTTGAGCGGCTGCAAGGCGCAGCACAGCAGTGTGGGGTCAGGTTTGAGGGGGTGATTGGGGGTCCCAGGAGGGGCTCTCAGGGCTGTGACATTTCAGGGTGTTTTTTGGGATGATTTCAGGGTATTTTGGGGGTTCCCTCACCACGGTCAGGTTGTTGTTGAGCGGCTGGAAGGCGCAGCACAGCAGCGCGGCCCCGTCGGGGTCGGGCACGCGGCGGATGCAGCGCCCGTCCGCGGGGTCCCAGAGGCGCAGGGTCCCGTCCAGCGAGGCGGACACCAGCACGTCGTTGGACAGCGACCAGGCGAAGTCCGAGACGCCGGCGCCGTGGCCGCGGAGCCGCCGCAGCACGGCCGGGGGCCCGGGGGCCAGGCGGCACACGGACAGCGTCCCGTCCAGAGAGCAGCAGGCCAGCAGGTGCCGCTCGTCGTGGGCAAACTGCCCCTTCCGCACTGGGGGGGGAGAGGGGGGCAGGGGAGACCCCCCAGAACAGAGGGATCAGCCCCAGAGCCAGGGGAAACCCCTGAACCCATCCAGCACGTGCTGCTCGTGAAGGGCAAACTGCACCTTCCGCACTGGGGGGGGAGAGGGGGGCAGGGGAGACCCCCCAGAACAGAGGGATCAGCCCCAGAGCCAGGGGAAACACCTGAACCCATCCAGCACGTGCTGCTCGTGAAGGGCAAACTGCACCTTCTGCATGGGGAGGGGGAAAGGTGAGACCCCTCCCCAAAATTATACAGGGTTAGGAACCCCCCCAAAACAGAGGGATCAGCCCCAGAGCCAGGGGAAACACCTGAACCCATCCAGCACGTGCTGCTCGTGAAGGGCAAACTGCACCTTCTGCATGGGGAGGGGGAAAGGTGAGACCCCTCCCCAAAATTATACAGGGTTAGGAACCCCCCCAAAACAGAGGGATCAGCCCCAGAGCCAGGGGAAACACCTGAACCCATCCAGCACGTGCCGCTCGTCGTGGGCAAACTGCACCTTCCGCACTGGGGGGGGAGAGGGGGGCGGGTGAGACCCCTCCCCAAAATTATACAGAACTAGGAACCCCCCCCGAGGCAGGGGAGACCCCCCAGAACAGAGGGATCAGCCCCAGAGCCAGGGGAAACACCTGAACCCATCCAGCACATGCTGCTCGTCATGGGCAAACTGCACCTTCCGCACTGGGGGGGCAGAGGGGGGCGGGTGAGACCCCTCCCCAAAATTATACAGGGTTAGGAACACCCCCAAACAGAGGGATCAGCCCCAGAGCCAGGGGAAACACCTGAACCCATCCAGCACGTGCTGCTCGTGAAGGGCAAACTGCACCTTCTGCATGGGGAGGGGGAAAGGTGAGACCCCTCCCCAAAATTATACAGGGTTAGGAACCCCCCCAAAACAGAGGGATCAGCCCCAGAGCCAGGGGAGCCCCCCAACCCATCCAGCAGGTGCTGTTCATTGGGAGCAAACTGCACCTTCCACACTGGGGGGGAAAAAGGGGGACAAGTGAGACCCCTCCCCAAAATTATACAGAGAGGGGAACCCCCCCAGAACAGAGCCATCTCCCCCGGAACCAGGGAGAACCCCCAGACCCATCCAGCACATGCTGCTCGTCATGGGCAAACTGCACCTTCCGCACTGGGGGGGCAGAGGGGGGCGGGTGAGACCCCTCCCCAAAATTATACAGAGAGGGGAACCCCCCCAGAACAGAGCCATCTCCCCCGGAACCAGGGAGAACCCCCAGACCCATCCAGCACATGCTGCTCGTCATGGGCAAACTGCACCTTCCGCACTGGGGGGGGAGAGGGGGGCGGGTGAGACCCCTCCCCAAAATTATACAGAGAGGGGAACCCCCCCAGAACAGAGCCATCTCCCCCGGAACCAGGGAGAACCCCCAGACCCATCCAGCACGTGCTGCTCGTCATGGGCAAACTGCACCTTCCGCACTGGGGGGGGAGAGGGGGGCGGGTGAGACCCCTCCCCAAAATCCCACAGAGGGGGGACCCCCCCAGACCCCCCTGGAGACCCATCCATCCCCACAGGTGATGTCCCTGCAGACCCCTCCCCACCCCTTCCTATCAGAACCACCTCCTCCCACCCCCTGAGGGCCCCCCCAGGTGACACCTGAGACCCCTCAGCCCCCCCCGGGTTACCTGTGCTGTCTCCAGGTGAGACCCCCAGACCCTCATCTAATCAAGATCGGAAGCACCTAACACCCTCCAGACCCCTCTCAGACAACACCTGAGACCCCCCAGAACCCTCCCAGATGACACCTGAGACCCTCCAGACCCCTCCCAGATGACACCTGAGACCCCCCAGACCCTTCAGATGACATCTGAGACCCCCCAGACCCCCCCAGGGGACCCCTGAGCCCCCCAGGGGACCCCTGAGCCCCCCGGTACCTGCGCTGTCCAGGTGCTGGTCGAACACGTGGAACACCCCCGCGAAGGCGTAGTTCTCGCTCAGGGTGGTGTCCCCGGCCATGGCCCGGCTGGCCTCGGCCAGGGGGGTGGGGACCACCCCGGGGGGGCTGCGGGAGAGGGGGGGCACAGCGTGAGACCCCCTCCGCAAATCGATCTGAACCCCACCAAGACCCCCAGAGCCCAACCCGGCACCCCCCGGTGCCCTGCAATGGTTTAGTCCAGGGGGGATGGGGATCCTCATGGGGGGGAGGGGGAGGGACAGGTGAGAGACAGGTGAGAGACAGGTGAGGAACAGGTGAGGGACAGGTGAGATAGGGGAGATAGGTGAGACAGGGGAGAAACAGGGGAGGGACAGGTAAAAAATGGGGTTAATTCCACCCAAAACCAGAGAAATTCCACCCAAAAAACCAAATCCAGGTGTGCGGAACTGCAGCAGCTGCAGTGTGCGGTACACAGCACACCTGCACAGGTGAGACAGGGGAGACAGGTGAGAGACAAGTGAGATAGGGGAGGGACAGGTAAAAAATGGGGTTAATTCCACCCAAAACCAGACCCAGGTGTGCAGAACTGCGGCAGCTGCGGCGTGCGCTACGCCGCGTACCTGCGGGACAGGTGAGACAGGGGAGAGAGAGACGGGAGACAGGTAAAAGACAGGTAAAAAATGGGGTTAATTCCACCCAAAACCAGAGAAATTCCACCCAAAAGTTTGCTCAGGTGTGTGGAACTGCGGCAGCTGCGGCGTGCGCTACGCTGCGTACCTGGGACAGGTGAGACAGGGGAGACAGGTGAGAGACAGGTGAGGGACAGGGGAGACAGGGAGATACGGGAGAAACAGCTGAGGAACAGGTAAAAAATTGGGTTAATTCTACTCAAAACCAGAGAAATTCCACCCAAAAATGGGCCCAGGCGTGCGGAACTGGGAGACAGGTAAAAGATGGGGTTAATTCCACCCAAAACCAGACCCAGGTGTGCGGAACTGCGGCAGCTGCGGCGTACACAGCACACCTGCACAGGTGAGGCAGGGGAGACAGGTGAGACAAGTGAGACAGGTAAGAAACAGGTAAAAAATGGGGTTAATTCCACCCAAAACCAGACCCAGGTGTGCAGAACTGCGGCAGCTGCGGCGTGCGCTACGCCGCGTACCTGCGGGACAGGTGAGACAGGGGAGAGAGAGACGGGAGACAGGTAAAAGACAGGTAAAAAATGGGGTTAATTCCACCCAAAACCAGACCCAGGTGTGCAGAACTGCGGCAGCTGCGGCGTGCGCTACGCCGCGTACCTGCGGGACAGGTGAGACAGGGGAGAGAGAGACGGGAGACAGGTAAAAGACAGGTAAAAAATGGGGTTAATTCCACCCAAAACCAGACCCAGGTGTGCAGAACTGCGGCAGCTGCGGCGTGCGCTACGCCGCGTACCTGCGGGACAGGTGAGACAGGGGAGAGAGAGACGGGAGACAGGTAAAAGACAGGTAAAAAATGGGGTTAATTCCACCCAAAACCAGACCCAGGTGTGCAGAACTGCGGCAGCTGCGGCGTGCGCTACGCCGCGTACCTGCGGGACAGGTGAGACAGGGGAGAGAGAGACGGGAGACAGGTAAAAGACAGGTAAAAAATGGGGTTAATTCCACCCAAAAACGAGTCTAGGTATGCGGAACTGCGGTGTGCGGTACACCGCGTACCTGCACAGGTGAGAAACAGGTGAGGGACAGGTGAGGGACATGTGAGGGACACGTGAGAAATGGGGTTAGTTCTACCCAAAACCAGAGAAATTCCACCCAAAAATGGGCCCAGGCGTGCGGAACTGCGGCAGCTGTGGTGTGCTGTACACTGTGCACCTGGGACAGGTGAGAGACAGGTGAGGAATGGGTTCAATTCTACCTAAAACCAGAGAAATTCCACCCAAAAATGGGCCCAGGCGTGCGGAACTGCAGCGTGCGGTACGCCGCGTACCTGCACAGGTGAGAAACAGGTGAGGGACAGGTGAAAACCAGCTGAGGGACGTGTGAGGGACACGTGAGAAATGGGGTTAGTTCTACCCAAAACCAGAAAAATTCCACCCAAAAATAGACCCAGGCGTGCGGAACTGCAGCGTGCGGTACGCCGCGTACCTGCACAGGTGAGAAACAGGTGAGACAGGTGAGAAACATGTGAGGGACAGGTGAGAAATGGGGTTAATTCGACTCGAAAGCAGAAAAATTCCACCAAAAAACGGGCCCAGGGGTGTGGAACCGCGGCGTGCGGTACGCCACGCACCTGCCAGACAGGTGGGACACAGGTGAGGTACAGGTGAGGTACAGGTGAGAAATGGGATTAATTTCACACAAAACCAGAGAAATTCTACCCAAAACCAGAGAAATTCCACCCAAAAATGGGCTCAGGTGTGCGGCACTGCGGCAGCTGTGGTGTGCTGTACACTGTGCACCTGGGACAGGTGAGAGACAGGTGAGGAATGGGTTCAATTCTACCTAAAACCAGAGAAATTCCACCCAAAAATGGGCTCAGGTGTGCAGAACTGCGGCAGCTGCGGCGTGCGGTACACAGCACACCTGCACAGGTGAGGCAGGGGAGACAGGTAAGAAACAGGTAAAAAAACGAATCCAGGTATGCGGAACTGCGGCGTGCGGTACGCCGCGTACCTGCACAGGTGAGAAACAGGTGAGACAGGTGAGAAACATGTGAGGGACAGGTGAGAAATGGGGTTAATTCGACTCGAAAGCAGAAAAATTCCACCAAAAAACGGGCCCAGGGGTGTGGAACCGCGGCGTGCGGTACGCCACGCACCTGCCAGACAGGTGGGACACAGGTGAGGTACAGGTGAGGTACAGGTGAGAAATGGGATTAATTTCACACAAAACCAGAGAAATTCTACCCAAAACCAGAGAAATTCCACCCAAAACCAGACCCAGGCGCGCAGAACTGCGGCGTGCGGTACACACGTGAGACAGGGGAGGGACAGGTGAGACAGGTGAGATACCAGTGAAGGGCAGGTGAGAAATGGAGTTAATTCTACCCAAAACCAGAGAAATTCCACTCAAAAATGGGCCCGGGGTTGCAGAATTGGGGCACCTGTAGGGTGCGGTATGCAGCACACCTGGGGCAGGTGAGACACAGGTGAGGTACAGGTAAGAGGCAGGTGAGGAATAGGCTTAATTCTACACAAAACCAGAGAAATTCCACCCAAAAACGGACCCAGGGATGCGGAACTGGGGCCCCTGTGGGGTGTGGTATGCAGCGCACCTGGGACAGGGGAGACACAGGTGAGAAACGCCGTTAATTCTTACCCAAAACCGGAGAAATTCCACCCAAAAATGAGCCCAGGTGTGACAATTCCACCCCAAAACCGGCCCAGGTGTCACAATCCCCAAAAAGATGCCCCAAGTACCCAAACCCTCCAAAATTCCGCACCCAGGTAGGAGCATCCCCCCCTCATTAAACCCCCCAGGTATCCAAAATCCCGCCCAAAAAATCCCCCCGAGCTCACCGCGCGTCCACGGCGAGCACCTGCTGCCACACGGCGGCCATGGCGGCCGCGGCCGCCGCGGGGGGACCCTGCCGAGGGAACAACGGCGTGAGCTGAGGGGAAAAATGCGGGGAAAAGGGGGAAAAAGGGAAAAAAAGGCACCGGGGCGGCTCTACCTGCGCGTCCCGCTCCACCTCCGCCTCAGGAGCTCCGCGGGGCCGGGGCTGGGCCGGGGGAGCGGGGCTGGGCCTGGCCGGAAGTTGCCGCGGCGCCGCCTCACGCCCAAATGGCGGTGCGAGTCGTCCTGGAGACGGGGGGCGGTGGGAGGGGGCGTGGTCTTCGAGGTGATTGGCTGGTTTTGGTAAATGGGGCGTGGCTTTTGGGAGCTTCTGTAATTCCCGCCTTCCAGGAGCGCACGCTGATTGGGTGATCGTAGAAAAGGGGCGTAGCGACCGCGTCTCTTTATTGTTACGGCATTCCCAGAGCGCCCCCGGATTGGCTGCTCCGCCCAGCGCCTCTTGTCTGCCCCGGGTCCTCCCGCCCGCCGGGTTTGCGACAACACCGCGGGCGCTTTACGGCAGCGGGCCGGGGGTCCAGGGAGGGTCCCGAGGGAGTTTTAAGGGGACCCCGAGGGGGTCCCGGTGCCTCCGAGGCGTCTCCGTGAACACCGAATTTCCCCCCGCGCCCTCCTTTGTGCCGCGCCACGGCGCTACTCGGAGCGCGCCTCTCTTGACGGCGGGCTGTACGACAGTCTGAGGGGCGTCCGGCGCGCTTTACGGCAGCGCGGCCGGGGCAGCGCGGCCGAGGGGGATTTTGGGGGGTCCCGGGGGGGTTTTGGGGGGTCGCGGAGGGTCCCGGGGGGGGCCGGGGGCCGGTGCCCCCCCCGAGGATGCCGCTGGCCGTGCAGTGGCCGTTCCCCCCGGAGCCGTCGCGGCGCTGGGCCCTGGCGAGCCGCGTGGTCACGGGCCTGGTGGGCACCTACAGCTGCGTGTGGACCCGTGAGTGACCCCCACCCCAAAGCTGGGGAGACCCCCCCAAAATCCTGGTTATGAGGGGGAAGCCCCCCAAAATCCCGGTTCTGAGGGGAAAACCCCCCCCAAAATCCCGGTTCTGAGGAGAGACCCCCCCCCAAATCCCGGTTATGACTTCAGACCCTCCCCAAATTCCTCCTCCAACCCCTTTAGGACCCCCTGGGGAACCCCCAGCCCTTCTGGGACCCCCTGAGAACCCCCCAAAAACCCTCCAGACTCCCCTGGGACCCCCCAAAACCTTCCAGACCCTCCCCAAAACTCCCCAAATTCCTCCTCCAACCCCTTGGGACCCCGGGTCCTGGGAGTATCCCAGGGAATTCTGGGGATGTCCTGGGGGGTTTCAGGATGTCCCTGGGGAGGATTTTGGGGCAGTTTTGGGGGTCCCAGAGAGTTTGGGGTGTCCTTGGATGTTTCGGGGTGTTTATGGGGAGGGGCCCTGTGGTGTTTTTGGAGTGGTTTTGGGGTGACTCAGGCTAATTTTGGGGTGTCCCTGAGGCTGGTTTGGGGTTGTTTTTGGGGTGTCCCAGGGGTGCTTTGGGGCTGATTTTGGGGTGTCCCCGCGATGTTTTTGGGGTGTCCCAGGGGTATTTTTGAAGTGGCTTTGGGCTGGTTTTGGGGTGTTCCTCAGGCTGTTTTGGGCTCGTTTTGGGGTGTCCCAGGGCTGGTTTTGGGGTGTTCCTCAGGGGTATTTTTAGGATGGTTTTGGGGATGCTTTTGGGGTGTCCCAGGGCTGGTTTTGGGGTGTTCCTCAGGCTGTTTTGGGCTGTTTTTGGGGGTCTTTGGGCTATTTTGCGGGGGGTCTTCGGGGGTGTTTTTGGGGGGTGTTTTTGGGGTGTCCCTGGGGTTGTTTTGGGGTATCCCAGGGGTATTTTTGGGCTGATTTTGGGCTGGTTTTGTGCTGTTTGTCCCGGGGCTGTTTTTGGGGTGTCCCGGGGCTGTTTTTGGGGTGTCCCGGGGCGGTTCGGGGGTCCCGGCGCCCCCTCCCCACATTTCCCCCCCCAGGAAGGGCACTGTGTACCCGTGTGCCGCAGTGACTGGGGGGACTGGGGAGGAACTGGGGGGGACTGGGAATGGGACTGGGAGCACTGGGATGAAACTGGAAACACTGGGACAGGGACTGGGAATGGACTGGGGGGGACTGGGAGCACTGGGAGGGGACTGGAGGGGACTGGGAGGGACTGGGACAAACTGGGAGGGACTGGGCTGTTTCTGATCTGTACTGGGGGGTAACTGGGGGGCACTGGGTCATTCCCAGTCCATACTGGGAGGGTCCCAGTCCATACTGGGAGGGTCCTAGTCCATACTGGGAGGGCCGGGGTTGCTCTGGGTTGCTCCCAGTCCGTACTGGGAGGGTCCCAGTCCATACTGGGAGGGCCGGGGTTGCTCTGGGTTGCTCCCAGTCCGTACTGGGAGGGTCCCAGTTTGAACTGGTGCCGCAGGGGACGGCGTTTACCAGCGGGGCATGGATTTTATACTGGAAAAACTCAACCAGGGAGACTGGGTGCACGTGTTCCCCGAGGGTACTGGGAGCACTGGGAGCACTGGGAGGGGTCCCTGGAGGGGATTTTGGGGGTCCTGGGGGGAGTTTGGGGGTCCCTGGGAAGATTTTAGGGTCTCTGGGTAGAATTTTGGGGGTCCTTGGGGGGAAGTGGTTTGGGGTGGAAATTTGGGGGATTTGGGGGCGACTCGGGGAGTTTGGGGTAAAAATTTGGGAAGGGTTAGGGTGGAAGCTGGGGAATTTGGGGAAATTTGGGTGAAAATTTGGGGGTTTGGGGTGGAAATTTGGGGAAATTTTGGTGAAAATTTGGAGGTTTGGGGTGGAAATTTGGGGGATTTGGGGGCGACTCGGGGAGTTTGGGGTAAAAATTTGGGAAGGGTTAGGGTGGAAGCTGGGGAATTTGGGGAAATTTGGGTGAAAATTTGGGGGTTTGGGGTGGAAATTTGGGGAAATTTTGGTGAAAATTTGGAGGTTTGGGGTGGAAATTTGGGGGATTTGGGGGCGACTCGGGGAGTTTGGGGTAAAAATTTGGGAAGGGTTAGGGTGGAAGCTGGGGAATTTGGGGTCTCTTTGGGGATTTTTTGGGGGTTTTTGGGGTTTCTTTGGGGATTTTTTGGGGGTCTTTTGGGGGGTTTTTGGGGTCTCTTTGGGGATTTTTTGGGGGTTTTTGGGGTTTCTTTGGGGATTTTTTGGGGGTCTTTTGGGGGGTTTTTGGGGTCTCTTTGGGGATTTTTCGGGGGTTTTTGGGGTCTCTTGAGAGGATTTTTGGGATCTCTGGGGTCATTTGGGGCTTTCCTGGGGTTTCTGGGAGGATTTTTGGGGTCTCTGAGGAGGTTTTGGGGTCTCTGAGATGATTTTTGGGGTCTCTGGGGTCATTTGGGAGGGTTTTGGGGGGCTTCTGGGAGACTTCTAGGGTCTCTGAGAGGATTTTGGGGTCTCTGGGGGACACTTGGGGGTCTCTGAGGGGATTTTGGGGTTTCTGGGAGGATTTTTGGGGTCTCTGGGGGGATTTGGGATCTCTGAGGGGGTTTTGGGGGTCTCTTGGGGGGTTTCTGGAGAAGTTTTTGGGGTTCTCTTGGCGGTTTTTGGGGTTTCTGGGAGGATTTTTGGCATCTCTGTTTTGGGTCTCTGGGATTTTTGGGGGGTCTCTGGGGGGATTTTTTGGCATCTCTCCGGGATTTCGGGCTATCTGAGGAGGTTTGGGGGGGTCTCTGTGAGGGTTTTTTGGGGGTCTCAGGGTGGATTTTGGGGTCTCACTGACCCCGTTCCCCCCCCAGCACATCACGGTGGTCGTGGGGCGCCCCTTCAGTGCCCGGCCTCTCCTGGAGCGGCTGCGCAGCGAGGGGACCCCCACGGTGGGTGAGGGTGGGACCCCCCTTCTGGGGGGCTGGGACCCCCCCTTTTGGGGGGCTGGGACCCCCACGGTGGGTGAGGGTGGGACCCCCACATTTGGGGGGCTGGGACCCCCTTTTGGGGGGCTGGGACCCCCACGGTGGGTGAGGGTGGGACCCCCCTTTTGGGGGGCTGGGACCCCCACAGTGGGTGAGGGTGGGGCCCCCCTTCTGGGGGGCTGGGACCCCCACGGTGGGTGAGGGTGGGACCCCCCTTCTGGGGGGCTGGGACCCCCTTTTGGGGGGCTGGGACCCCCACGGTGGGTGAGGGTGGGAACCCCCTTCTGGGGGGCTGGGACCCCCACATCTGGGGGGTTCTGACCCCAGGATTTGGGGGGTTTGTCCCACAAATTTGGGGGGTTCTGACCCCGGGATTTGGGGGGTTTGTCCCAGAAATTTGGGGGGTTTGTCCCAGGGATTTGGGGGGTTCTGACCCCAGGATTTGGGGGGTTTGTCCCAGAAATTTGGGGGGTTTGTCCCAGGATTTGGGGGGTTTGTCCCAGGGATTTGGGGGGTTCTGACCCCAGGATTTGGGGGGTTCTGACCCCAGGATTTGGGGGGTTTGTCCCAGAAATTTGGGGGGTTCTGACCCTGGGATTTGGGGGGTTTGTCCCAGAAATTTGGGGGGTTCTGACCCCGGGATTTGGGGGTTCTGACCCTGAGACTTGGGGGTTCTGACCCTGAGATTTTGGGGGTTCTGACCCCAGGATTTAGGGTTTGACCCAGAAATTTGGGGAGCTCTGACCCAGAAATCCGCAGGGATTGTAACTCATGAATTTGGGCTTTGGCCCATTCGTTTGGGAATATAAATTTGGGATTTCATTAACAGATTTGGGGGTCTGACCCAGATTTGGGGGGCTCGTAACCCACAGATTTGAGCTTTGTCCCGTAAATTTGGGAGGGGTTTCCCCATGAACTTGGGGTTGCCCTATAGATCTACAGGTCTCTTTCCCAGCCCCATAAATCCCGGGATTCAGCCCTATAAACCCCAGGATCCCACCCCACAGATCCCAGGATCCCAGCCCCACAGATCCCCAGGTCCCACCCCACAGATCCTGGGATTCTAATCCCATAAATCCACAGATCCCAGCCCCATAAATCCCGGGATTCAGCCCTATAAACCCCAGGATCCCAGACCCATAAATTTCTGGGTCCCAGCCCCAGAGATGCCCAGATCCCAGACCTATAAATCCCGGGATCCCAGCCCCACAGATCCCTGGATCCCAACCCCACAGATCCCGGGATCCTAATCCCATAAATCCATAGACCCCAGCCCCATAAATCCCTGAATTCAGCCCTATAAATCCCTGGATCCCAGTCCCAGAGATCTCCAGATCCCATTCCACAGATCCCTGGATCCCAACCCCATAAATTTCTGGATCCCAGCCCACAGATCCCTGGATTCAGCCCTATAAATCCCGGGATCTCACCCCACAGATCCCGGGATCCCAGCCCCACAGATCCCAGGATCCTAATCCCATAAATCCATAGACCCCAGCCCCATAAATCCCTGGATACCAGCCCCATAAATTTCTGGGTCCCAGCCTCAGAGATGCCCAGATCCCAACCCCATAAATCCCTGGATCCCAGCCCACAGATCCCTGGATTCAGCCCTATAAATCCCGGGATCTCACCCCACAGATCCCCAGGTCCCACCCCACAGATCCTGGGATTCTAATCCCATAAATCCACAGATCCCAGCCCCAAAAATCCCTGGATTCAGCCCTATAAATCCCGGGATCCCACCCCACAAATCCCGGGATCCCAGCCCCACAGATGCCTGGATCCCAACCCCACAGATCCCGGGATCCTAATCCCATAAATCCATAGACCCCAGCCCCATAAATCCCTGAATTCAGCCCTATAAATCCCTGGATCCCAGTCCCAGAGATCTCCAGATCCCATTCCACAGATCCCTGGATCCCAACCCCACAGATCCCGGGATCCTAATCCCATAAATCCATAGACCCCAGAGATCCCCAGATCCCAGCCGCATAAATCCCGGGATCCCACCCCACAAATCCCGGGATCCCAGCCCCAGAGATCCCAGGATCCCAGCCCCACAGATCCTGGGATCCCAGCCCCATAAATCGCTGGATTCCAGCCCCATAACTCTGTGGATCCCACCCCACAGATCCCAGGATCCCACCCCACAGATCCCAGCCCCACAGCTCGGGCTCTCTCTCCCCACAGGTGGAGCTCCGCAAGGCCCTGACCGATTTTGTCCAGCGGGAATTCGAGGCTCTGCGGGGCCACGCCCGGACCCTGCACCCCACCCCATAACTGGGGGTCCCCCTGCCCCACAACTGGGGGGTTTTGCCCCAAAACTGGGGCTTCTGCCCCATAATTTGGGGTTGTGCCCCACAACTCCGGGTTGTGCCCCATAGCAAGGCCCTCCTGCCCCATAAAAGGGGATTTTACCCCATAATTTGGGGGTCTTATCTAATAATTGGGGGTTCTGCCCCATAGCAGGGGTCCCTGGTGGACTCCCTGCCCCATAGGGGGGTCCTGCCCCCTTCTGAGCCCCCCAACTGTGCACGGTGCCAATAAAAGAAGGTGGAACCTCGGGGGTCTCTGGGGCATTTTGGGGTCCCAGGGAGAATTTGGGAGGTCCCAGGATGGAATTTGGGGTCTTAGAGAGGAAATTTGGGGGTCCCAGGGGAGAATTTTGGGCCCCAAAACCAAGCGAGTCCCAACCCGAGGTGATTTTATTGAAGCAGAAAAAAGGGGAGGGGTCCCCATTGCCCCCCAAAAAACCCCCTGGGAAGAGGGGGGGACAAAGGAGGGGTTCAGCCTCCCCAAAACGAGGCTTGGACCCCCCCAAAATGAGATTTGGACCCCAAAAAAAGGGGGGAAGGTCCCAAAAATGACGCCAGAACCCCCCCAAAAATGGAACTGGGGGCGTGGCCTGGTCCGGGAGGGGTTTTAGGGGCGTGGCCTGGTCCAAGGGGCGGGGTTTATAACCAGTGTGGGCGTGGCTTGTAGCAGCTGTGGGCGTGGCCTGGCGTGGCCCCGCCCCTCACTCCTCCTTCTTGTCCCGGGGTCCGTCGTGGGCGGCCTGGGGGGGGCACAAAGGAGGAATTGAGGGGGGGTCTGGGGTGCACGGGGGGCATTGGGGGGTCCCCAGAGGGATTTTGGGGGTGTTAAAGGGGTCCTGAGGGGGTTCTGGGGGGTCCCCAGAGGGATTTGGGGGGGTTTGGGGTTGGGATTTTGGGAAGTTTAGTTTTGGGGGTATTTTTTGGTTTTTATGGGGGTATTTTTGGGGTGTTTTATGGTATTTTTGGGGGTGGATATTTTGGGGGTTTTTGGGGTATTTTTTGGGTGTTTTGGGGGTATTTTGGGGGGTTCTGGGGCGTATTTTTTGGGGGAAGTTTGGGGTATTTTTGTGGTATTTTGGGGTCTTTTGGGGTGTTTTTGGGGATGTTTTGGGGGGTATTTTTTGGGGTGTTTTATGGTATTTTTGGGGGGGGATATTTTGGGGGTTTTTGGGGTATTTTTTGGGGTGTTTTATGGTATTTTTGGGGGGGGATATTTTGGGGGTTTTTGGGGTATTTTTTGGGGTGTTTTATGGTATTTTTGGGGGGGGATATTTTGGGGGTTTTTGGGGTATTTTTTGGGGTGTTTTGGGGGATTTTGGGGTGTTCTGGGGCGTATTTTTTGGGGGAAGTTTGGGGTATTTTTGTGGTATTTTGGGGTCTTTTGGGGTGTTTTTGGGGATGTTTTGGGGGGTATTTTTTGGGGTGTTTTGGGGTATTTTGGGGTGTTCTGGGGCGTATTTTTTGGGGGAAGTTTGAGGTATTATGGTGTTTTTTTGGGTACTTTTGGGGTGTTTTGGGGGTATTTTTTTTTGGTATTTTAGGGTATTTTTGGGGTGTTTTTTGGGTGTTTTTGGGGTGTTTTGGGCGTTGTGGGTACCTGCAGCCTGGCGTGCTCCTCCAGCAGCCGGTCGTACTCGCGGGTCAGGCCCTGGGCCTGGCGCCTCATGGCCTGCACCTCGCTCTCGGCCTTCTCCAGGGCTGGGGGGATTTTGGGGAATTTTGGGCATTTTTAGGAATTTTTGGAATTTTTTCTGACCCCTCCAACCCCCCCTGACATCCCCAAACCCCCCCTGACACCCCCAAATCCACCCAGGCACCCCCAAACCCCTCATGGCCTGCACCTCGCTCTCGGCCTTCTCCAGAGCTTTGGGGGATTTGGGGGAATTTTGGGCATTTTTAGGAATTTTTGGAATTTTTTCTGACCCCTCCAACCCCCCCTGACACCCTTAAACCCCCCCCTGACACCCCCAAATCCACCCAGACACCCCCAAACCCCTCACAGTCCCATTTTCAGGGGGCTCAGGGTCACATCAAATTCCCCCAAATTTTTCCTTAATTCCCTTTTTAAACCCCCAAATTGCCAAAATTCCCCCCCAAAAATCACTTTTGCGCCCTCAAACTCCCCAACATTCCCCTTTAAATCCCCAAAAGCCCATCAGACCCCCCAAAAAATCCCCCAAATTCCACTTTAACCCACCCAAATTCCCCTTTAACCCCCTCAGACCCCCAAAAAGATCCCCACAATTCCCCTTTAACTCCCCCCAAAATTCCATTTTAACCTCCTCAAAGCCCCCTCAGATCCCCCAAAAATCTCTCCAATTCCACTTTAACCCTCCCAGACCCACCCCAAAAATCCCCAAAATTCCCCTTTAACCCCCTCAGACCCCCAAAAAGATCCCCACAATTCCCCTTTAACTCCCCCCAAAATTCCATTTTAACCTCCTCAAAGCCCCCTCAGATCCCCCAAAAATCTCTCCAATTCCACTTTAACCCCCCAAAACCCCCAAAATTCCCATCTAACTCCCCCAAAATTCCACTTTAACCCTCCCAGACCCACCCCAAAAATCCCCAAAATTCCCCTTTAACCCCCTCAGAGCCCCAAAATTCGCCTTTAACCTCCCCCCAAATTCCCCTTTAAATCCCCAAAATCCCTTCAGACCACCCCAAAAATCCCCAAAATTCCTCTTTAACCCCCCCAAAATTCCCCTTTAACCCCCCAAAATTCTCCTTTAAATCCCCAAAATCCTCTCACACCACCCCAAAAATCCCCAAAATTCCCCTTTAACCCCCCAAAAATCCCCAATTTCCCCCTACCCTTCTTGCTGATCTCCAGCTCCTCCTTCAGTGACTTCACCTTGGCCTTGAGGGTCTCGTTCTCGTCCCGGGTGGGGGACGGGGCCCCCCCAGACTCCTGCAGCTGCTGGGGGGCACAAAAAAAGGGGGTTCAGGATTTTGGGGGGGTCTGAGGGGTTCAATCAACGATTTTGGAGTTTTATCCCGATTTTTGAGGGGTTTTTTTTTGGTTTATTCTGATTTTTTGAGGATTTTTTTAGGGTTTTTTCATGATTTTTTTAGGGTTTTTTTTGGTTTACTCTGATTTTTTGAGGGAATTTATCCTGTTTTCTTTGGGAGGTTTTATCCCAATTTTTTGAGGATTTTTTTGGGGGGAGTTTATTATGTTTTTTTTTTAGGGGATCTCAGATATTTTTAAGAAATCCCAAGTGTTTTTTGGGGATCCCAGGTGTTTTAGGTTTATTTTTAGCTGATCCCAGGTATTTTTGGGGTTGTTTTCAGGTGGTTTTGGGGTTGTTTTTAGGGATCCCAGGTGTTTTCAAGTGTCCCAGGTATTTTTGGGGTTGTTTTCAGGTGTTTTTGGGGTTATTTTCAGGTGGTTTAGGGCTGTTTTAGGGAATCCCAGGTGTTTTTGGGGCTGTTTTCAGGTGTTTTACAACTGTTTTAGGGGATCCCAGGTGGTTTTTGGGGTTGTTTTCAGGTGGTTTTGGGGGTTGTTTTTAGGTATCCCAGGTGTTTTTGGGATTATTTTCAGGTATTTTTGGGGTTGTTTTCAGGTGGTTCAGGGGCTGCTTTCAGGGTTTTTTTCAGGTGTTTTAAGGCTGTTTTTAGGTGTCCCAGGTGTTGGGATTATCTTCAGGTATTTTAGGGTTGTTTTGAGGGGGCTTTGGGGTTGTTTTCAGGTGGTTTAGGGGCTGCTTTCAGGTGTTTTAAGGCTGTTTTTAGGTATCCCAGGTGTTTTTGGGATTATTTTCAGGTATTTTGGGGTTGTTCTCAGGTGGTTTTGGGGTTGTTTTTAGCCAGTCCCAGGTGGTTTTGGGGTTGTTTTTAGCCAGTCCCAGGTGGTTTTGGGGTTGTTTTTAGCCAGTCCCAGGTGGTTTTGGGGTTGTTTTTAGCCAGTCCCAGGTGGTTTTGGGGTTGTTTTTAGCCAGTCCCAGGTGGTTTTGGGGTTGTTTTTAGGGATCCCAGGTGTTTTCAAGTGTCCCAGGTATTTTTGGGGTTGTTTTCAGGTGGTTTTGGGGTTGTTTTTAGGGATCCCAGGTGTTTTCAAGTGTCCCAGGTATTTTTGGGGTTGTTTTCAGGTGGTTTTGGGGTTGTTTTTAGGGATCCCAGGTGTTTTCAAGTGTCCCAGGTATTTTTGGGGTTGTTTTCAGGTGTTTTTGGGGTTATTTTCAGGTGGTTTAGGGCTGTTTTAGGGAATCCCAGGTGTTTTTGGGGCTGTTTTCAGGTGTTTTACAACTGTTTTAGGGGATCCCAGGTGGTTTTTGGGGTTGTTTTCAGGTGGTTTTGGGGGTTGTTTTTAGGTATCCCAGGTGTTTTTGGGATTATTTTCAGGTATTTTTGGGGTTGTTTTCAGGTGGTTCAGGGGCTGCTTTCAGGGTTTTTTTCAGGTGTTTTAAGGCTGTTTTTAGGTGTCCCAGGTGTTGGGATTATCTTCAAGTATTTTTGGGGCTGTTTTCAGGTGGTTTTGGGGTTGTTTTCAGGCATTTTGGGGTTGTTTTCAGGCTGTTTTTAGGTGTCCCAGGTGTTGGGATTATCTTCAGGTATTTTAGGGTTGTTTTGAGGGGGCTTTGGGGTTGTTTTCAGGTGGTTTAGGGGCTGCTTTCAGGTGTTTTAAGGCTGTTTTTAGGTATCCCAGGTGTTTTTGGGATTATTTTCAGGTATTTTGGGGTTGTTCTCAGGTGGTTTTGGGGTTGTTTTTAGCCAGTCCCAGGTGGTTTTGGGGTTGTTTTTAGGTGTCCCAGGTGTTTTTGGGATCATTTTCAGGTATTTTAGGGTTGTTTTCAGGGCTGTTTTCAGGTGTTTTAGGGCTGTTCTTAGGTGTCCCAGGTGTTGCTTGGATCATTTTCAGGAATTTTGGGGTTGTTCTCAGGTGGTTTTGGACATTCTGTACCTTCCTGAGGGCGTCGTTGTCCTCCAGGTACTGCCGTGCGGCCTGGCTGGCGCCCTCGGCCTGCTTGCGGAACGCCTGGCTGGAGGCACCCAGGGCAGCCTGGGCCGAGATCAGCGTCACCAGGCGCCTCAGGAGGCTGGGGGGGACAAATTTGGGGTGAGGGACCCCCAAACTGGCATCTGGAATCCCCCTTGGGTCACCCAGAGCCCCCCAAGGGCTCCCCGGGCCTCTTGGTGTGAGGCCTGGCTGGAGGCGTCAAGTGCGGCCTAGGCCTCGATCAGCGTCACCTCAGGAGGCTGGGGGCGGACAAATTTGGGGTGAGGGACCCCCAAATTTGGATCAGGCACCCTCCCCCAGTCACCCAGAGCCCCTCCTGAGCTCCTGAGGCCTGTTGGTTTGCGGCCTGGCTGGAGGCCTCAAGTGCGGCCTAGGCCGAGATCAGGGGAAGGAGGCGCCTCAGGAGGCTAGGGGGGACAAATTTGGGGTGAGAGACCCCCAGAGGGACCCCAAAACTGGGATCAAGGAACCCCGAATTGTGCTTAAGGACCACCAGATTGTGGTTAGGGACCACCCTGGGTCACCCAGAGCCCCACCAGGGCTCCCCGGGCCTCTTGGTGTGCGGCCTGGCTGGAGGCCTCGAGTGCGGCCTAGGCCGAGATCAGGGGAAGGAGGCACCTCAGGAGGCTGGGGGGATAAATTTGGGGTGAGTGACCCCCAAACTGGGATCAAGGAACCCCAAATTGTGGTTAGGGATGCCCAAATTTGGGTTAGGGACCCCCTGGGTCACCCAGAGCCCCCCAGGGCTCCCCGGGCCTGTTGGTGCGAGGCCTGGCTGGAGGCCTTGAGTGCGGCCTAGGCTGAGATCAGGGGAAGGAGGCGCCTCAGGAGGCTGGGGGGACAAAAATGGGGTTGAGGGACCCCAAAATTTCAGTTAGGGACACCCAAATTTGTGTTAGAGATCCTCCAAAATCCCCCCCTGAGCCCCCCAGGCCTGTACAAGCAAGGCCTGGCTCAAGGCCATGAGCGTGGCCTAGGCTGAGATCAGGGCCAGGAGGTGCCTCAGGCCAAGGTTGTGTCCAGGACCCCCCAACCCTGACCAGGACCCCCCTAGATCCTGCCCAGGACCCCCCAGATCCTGCCCAGGACCCCCAAACCCTGCCCAGGACCCCCCAGATCCTGCCCAGGACCCCCCAAACCCTGCCCAGGACACCGCTTGCAAGGACAGCAGCAGAGCGAAGCCAGCATCTTCCCAACCCCCCAAAACCACCTCCAAACCCTCCAAACCAGCTCCAGACCCCCCAAAATTGACTCCACCCCCGCCCCAAATCATGCCTAGGACCCCCCAAATTCCTTCCAGCCCCCCCAAATTCCCTCCCCAGGCTCACAAAAAGAGTAGAAAAACAAACCCAGCCAGGCTCAGCCCCTTCCCAACTCCCCCCAAACCAGCTCCAGGCCCCCCAAAATTGACTCCAGCCCCCCCAAATCGTGCCTGGGACCCCCCACATTCCCTCCAGCCCCCCCAAATTCCCTCCCCATGCTCACAAGGAGAGCAGCAGGGCGAAGCCAGCCAGGTAGAGGTTCCTCTGGGCACGGAACAGTTTCATGTGGAAGTGCTCCAGCGCGGCCGGGCTGGTGCCCAGCGCCTCCTTGTCCCCCACGTTGTACCTACGGGTCTCCCTCAGGGCATCTGGGGGACAAGGGGGGGTCAGAAGGGGGGGACACCCCCCCAGAGACACCCCAAAATCACCAGAGTGCCCCCAAACCCACCCAGAGCCCACCCAGGTCTGCCTGGACCCACCCCGAGTCCATCCGGACGCACCAAGGGCAACCCCGCGCTCAAAAGGCGACAAAATCGCCACAAAACCCAGCCAAAGTTCCACCAAAATTCAGCCAAAGTTCCACCAAAATTCAGCCAAAGTTCACCCAAAATTCAGGCAAAGTTCCACCACAGTCCCCCCCGAAGTTGCCCCCAAATCTACCCAAAGTTCCACCCAACTCCATTCAAAATCCCCTCCAATTTCCCACAAAAATCCCCTCAAAATTCCCCCAAAATCCACCCAAATCTCCCCCAAAAATTCCCCCAAATTCTTCCCACAAGATCTCCCTGAAAATCCACCCAAAATCCCCTCCAAGTTCCCCCAAAATACCCCAGAAAAACACCCCAAATCCCCTCAAAATCTGCCTAAAATTCCCCAAAATTCTCTGAAATTACCCCCAAATTTCCTCAAAATCCTCTCAAAATTCCTCCAAATTTACCCCAAAATCCACCGTGGGCTCCACTGAAATCTACCCAAAATTCCTCTAAAATTCCTCAACATTCCCAGAAAATCCTCAGAAATCTCCCCCCAAAATCCCCCTAAATTTCCATCCAGATTTCCCTGAAAATCCCCCCAAAATTGATTTAAAATTCCCCCCAAATCCACTCAAAGTTCCCTCAAAATCCTCTCAAAATTCTTCCAAATTTCCCCCAAAATTCCCTCAAAAACCACTCAAATACCCCCCAAAATCCTCTAAAAATCCACCCAGATTTCCCCCTAAAATCCCGCAAATTTTCCCCAAAGTCCATTTAAAATTCCCCCAAAATCCCACCGAAAGCCCCACCAAAATCTGCCCAAAATTCCCTCAAAATCCACCCCAAATCCCTACAAAAACCACCCAAAATCTCCCCAAAATCCATTAAAAATCCCCCTCAAATTTCCCCCAAAATTCCCTAAAATAACCACCAAAAATCCCTCAAAATCCTTTGAAATACCCCCAAATTCCCCCCGAAATCCCCTCAAATTTCCCCTGAAACGCCCCCAAATTTTCCCCCAAATTTTCCCCCAAATTTTCCCCCAGATTGCCCGGTCCCACCGAGCAGCAGCAGCACGAGGATGACGATGAGCACGATGAAGAAGGAGTTCCCGTAGGACACGGCCAGCCCCACCAGGCGCGAGCGGAAAATCTTCTGCCATCTGAGGGGAGGGGGGCACAAATTGAGACCCCCCCCAAAATCCCCCAGGACCCCCCAAATTTCAAGAAATCCCCCCCAGGACCCTCCAAAATCCCCTCAGGAAATCCCAAATCCCACAGCCGCACTTTTAGAGACCCCTCCACTTATTTAGGGACCCCTCCCTTTACAGCGACCCCTCCCCACTTTTAGGAACCCCTCTTCACCTTTAGGGACCCACCACCACTTTTAGAGACCCCTCCCCACATTTAGCGTCCCCTCCCAACCTTTAGGGACCCCTCCTCACTTTTAGAGACCCCTCCCCACCTTTAGGGACCCCTCCCCACTTTTAGGCCCCCCCGCCCCTCACCTGGCCGGGGACACGAAGGGGACGCAGAGCAGCAGCACCAAAAACACCTCCGCGTACAGGAACGTGGCCACCGCCGTCCACTGCAGGCTCATGGCGGCCTGAGGGGGGCGCGGGCAGCGATGGGGACCCGGTTTGGGGCACCGGGACCCCCAAAACCCCCTCAGGACCCCCCGAAAACCGCCCCGGGGCCGCCCCTCCCCCACCGCCCTCACCCTCAGCTGCCGCCCCCGCCCAAACAGGAAGCAAACGGCGGAAGCCACGCCCACTCGCTGAGGGAGCGGCCAATCAGAGCGAGAGGCGGGGGAAAAGTAGGTGACGTCACATCTGGTCGCCATTTTCCACGCCTCGCCCGGGAAAATTTAATCAAAAGTGTCGTAATCAGTTTAAGAATAAATTCAATCGATTGGAATGAAATCGTTAGCGCGGGTAAAATTAATGTTAATTAATTTAATAATTAGTGAAATTAATGGGCTTTAAACAAGGCCACGCCTCTTTCTTTGTGGCGCCGCCCATACCACCCCACTCCTTGATGCCAATGGTTCGTCCCTCACGGTAGCCACGCCCCCACCTCCGCCCACAGCCAATCATTGTCCCGCCCACGGCGTTGATTGACAGCTCTGGACACGTTTAATGCATTTATTGGGGGGGGCCGGGACCCCCCGAATTTGGGGGGTTCATGAGGGGTCTCGGGGGGTCCCCAGGCGGTTTTTGCGTCCGAGGGGGATCCCGGGGGGATTTTGGGGTGTCCCGAGGGGATTTTGGGGTCCCAGGGGCGTACCAAGGGAGTTTTGGGGGTCCCCAGGGGGTGGTTTGGGGTATTTGGGAGGGGGGGTGTCCCATGGGAATTTTGGGGATCCTGGGGGGGTCCCAAAGGGAATTTTGGGGATCTTGAAGGAGCCCCGTGAGAATCTGGGGATCCTGGGGGGGTCCCAAAGGGAATTTTGGGGATCTTGAAGGAGCCCCGTGAGAACTCAAGCGCCGGGTCTCGAACTCGTAGAATTTCTTCTCGTAGAGTTTGCGGGGGGTCCCTGGGTGGGGGGCACGGGGTCAGCCCAGGGCTCCCAGTGAAAACCAGTTCCTCCCAGTTACCCCTCCCCATCCCTCCCAGTCCAAACCGGTGCTCCCAGTTTCCCCTCCCAGTGTTCCCAATCCAAACCGGTGCTCCCAGTTACCCCTCCCAGTGTTCCCAATCCAAACCAGTGTTCCCAGTTACCCCTCCCAGTGCTCCCAGTCCCTCCCAGTTACCCCTCCCCATCCTTTCCAGTCCAAACCAGTCCATCCCAGTTCTCCCTAATCCCCTCCCAGTGCCCCCAGTCCCAACCAGTGCTCCCAGTTACCCCTCCCCATCCCTCCCAGTCCCTCCCGCTGCTTTCCTTAGCACATTCCAATAAACTGCAAGCTTGCAATGATGCACACTCATCTCGAGGCTCCCAGCAAGCATGC